CTCTCCTACCAACGTTTCCTCTCTCTCTCTTGAGCAGCTCTGTAAAAAAGGCCCAAAAGTAAAAGTTAAACTGCATAAAAACATTGGCAATGATTCAGTACTGAGATGTTGTCGATGTTTTAGTTCAGTTTAGACCGTGTGCAGGAGGTTAACTGCATGTTCAGTGGGATTTATTGTTCTCCCTTAAGCACCTGTCGAATTAAAAAGATGTATTTTTCAAAGCTTCTGTACTGCTTGATCGGATTGTTGAAATGAATGGTTTCTACGATGCATCACGACATGGACAATTCTGCTTCGATGCAGAGACAGAACGTCATTGAAGCAGGTTGTTTATAGGTTTTCTGTCCATGGCTGGACGTGTATTATTCATTTATTCTTTCAGAGACATTTATGTCGACATTGATTCCTAAAACACTTAAATAGAAAGATAGTATTAATCTGACTGCTCGTCTTCTTTGATGGAAAAGTAGCCATGGGCCATTATATTGAAAACTGAGGATGCAGCCCATCGAGATGCATCGTGATATCGAATCGAATCGTCGACAGGATTAATAACCGAATCGAATAGTGAGGCCAGTGAAGACGTTCAGCTCTGCAATGGATCCTTAAAATTCACAGAGATGGTAATGTTTTAAAACATTTTGACAACCTTAAGTCTGAGCGTCTCCGCCTGCACATCAGACTCGCTCTCTCTCCTGCAGAGCCAGCGTGTTTGTTTGTGCGTTTGTGTGTGTGTGTGTGTTTGTTTGTTTGTGTGTGTGTGTGTGTGTGTGTGTGTGTGTGCACGTGAGTCTGGCGGGGCCGTGTGCTGAGATGTCTGTCGGTGGTTAGAGAGGAGGGTAAACCCTGCCAGGCTCCGGGAGAGCAGCCTTTCCATGCCAGGCAGGGTTGACACACAGTGGAAAGCTTCTCTGCTCATTTCTCTGGGTTTGATTATTACCCAGCAGCCCTGTGATGTCACACACACACACACACACAAGCATGCACACACACGCACACATATAAACCAAGTATGCAGTTACATACATTACTGTGCAATAATGCTGCTGGAGACCCAAACCCACAGCAGCCCTAAACGTGTGATTTATGGTCGTCTGTTTGTCATGTTTGTACTAAAAGTAAGAGTAAAAAAAAGTTTAAGAATTGTCGTGCAAGTTTCTGAAAGCCTCCTCAGACTGGGTTTGAAAAAGGTGTGGTTAAGTTTGCACACTTATTACAAAAATGGATTTATAAATTCTCCCACAAAATCATGCTGAAGGTCGTCCAGCAGCATCAGTGCAGCCCGTTAAGTAATAAATCACCCCAACTAAATTCAAATCACACAGCAGCCGATCAGCTGAGCCGTTTTCACATCTGCACTCTGCACTGAAAATATCGAGATCATTTCAGGAGGACTGCTCTTGAAATCCTCCTGACCTGGTTGTTCACACATGCACCTCAAAGTGGGAGACTATCGCTGTCAGAAGGGAGGTGGGGGGGTCGTCTCCTGAGCTAAGATGTCTTGTCCCTCTCCGACGTATTTTCTAGCTTTGATTTGTGTTTTTGTGTCTCTAGCCGCTGAAATACAATTACTTGTGATACTGGTTATCAGATCAGTGATCTGTGTAGGCTAACTGATGATGATGCTTACCTCGACTGCCTGCACAGGTATCGTCTTTGTGTGAAGTGTGAATCGTATTTTTGACAACCTGTATATCTCCCCCTTCCTAAAGAGACTCCAATCTTCTATATAAAATATGAATTCATGCTGTTTTAATCCACATTTTCAGATGCTCTCTAAAGTGCAGAGTCAGTCTGAGTTTGTGCACACAGCAGTCGGTGTCGTAGCCTCGTGAATGATGTCATCGAACATCTGCAGCTGTTCTGTTGCTGAACCGTTTAATCATTTTTGTGAGGTTTGAACAAAAGTTTAATTTGTGCCCTTCAGCTGCCTCACACGTCGGGAGGCTCTGCGGTTGGTGTTTTGTTGACGGGCGGAGCGGTAGTCAAACTACACTTTACTGTTTGGATACACAGGTGGGAACTTGATAAGCATTTTTGATGCATGAGTAAAGATGATTGTGGACAGAACAGATGTGCTCGCTGCAGTTTCCACATCAGTCATTTGAAGTTTTCACTGTTCAGAACTCTGGCCTCCTGTTTGGCAGGTGTGTAAGATTTTATTAACGATAAATTAAAGAGTTCGTATGATTGCTTGTCATGAGTAACTAATAATAGAAGTTTGATAAACTCTTCCTGGTACAACTGTGGGTTCAGGTTTTATTGCAGTAACAGCATGACAAGCTTTTTCCTGTGTGGTAGAACCAGGCAGTGACCTCCGAGGTTGATAAATGAAGCCGATGCTGAAGTTTAAAATCCTGCAGTTCCTCGAGTGTCCACTAGAGGCTGGCTGCAGAAGCACAGGAAGTCACATACACACCTATTCAAAAAAGCCTGTTTTTACAGCAGAGATTAACATGTTTACAGCCTGGTTCAAAAAACAAATAGGTCTGATTAGTTCATGTCTCGATCGACACACACTGTACGGGGGGTAAATGTTTTGATGACTCATCAGTTTTGATTTAATGAAGGATAAGAGTTATTAACAATAAGGTGTGTAGCTGACCTGATTGACAGGTGGGCGTGGTGTAACGGTTTGTCAGGAGGTTTAAAACCCGCCTCAGCTCCAGCTCTCAGCCTGTCGTTAGGTTGACTGAAAGTTAGACTGAGACAGCATTTCCAGCATGGAGACCGCCATCGATGGGACTCCAGCGCCCCCTGCAGGAACAGATAGGTGATGTCTGTAGTAACTGCATGATGAGGTTTTTCCTGTGTGGTAGGATGACTTGCCCTGAGACGGAGAATGTAAAGTTAAGATGACTTCAGAGCAGCTGTAGGAGAAGAGTTTCTGTCGAAGCATTTCTCGCCATCCCCGCTCCCCTCGGTGCTCAGTTTGTTAGACTTTTATAGCTCACAACAACAACAACAACACCTCTCAACATGAACAGCATTCATTAATTTTTTGTTCTCTTTTCATGTCTGTATGCTGTCGTCCTGCTTCATCCTCATATTTATATGATTCACATGTTTGTTCTGAAACGAATACAGTGTTTGCAGGATTAAGTCATTTTTATGACAACAGTCCAACTCAAGTGGGCGAGTTTTTAAAAAGCAGTAAAAATCTGTTCACGTCAGCAAAAAGTAAATCAGAGATGACAGACAACAGTGCCTCATTCTTCAGCCGCTCTCTGCCCAAAACATCCCAGAGTGGAGGAACACACACACACACACACACACACACACACACACACACACACACACACACACACACACACACACACTCACTTACTCATGAGACAAACAGAGAAAACAGTTTGAGGTGATTTGAGGCTTCTGGCAGGATTTAAAGTTGCACCTACTCCAGGAGTGTCCCGCCCAGTGCACCCTGCCTTCAGCAGTCATCTCTGTTACAAGCTGCACTCCTGAGTTAACACACACACATACACACACACACACACACAAACACACAAACAGGATGATGGTGTGCTTGAGGGAATTTCCAGTAAAGCAAAAAGGTTTTAATAAAAAGGAAAGACAGGTACGTTCCTCCCACTGCTGGCCGAACACAGCTGCTGTCTGAGCAAAATAACAGATTCATCCGATTATTTACAGGGACTCTTTAGGGAGGATAGTCCTCTTTACTATTTTAATATATATATATGTGTAATGTGAAACCAAACATAAAATTTGTTGGTGAACTGACAACAACAGATTTTAAGTTAAATTTTTCAGTCAAAAGGATCAATCAGTGAGATGTATAGTGAGTGAAATGATAAAGGTATCTTACTATATGATCAGACATTAAGGAAACATGCTATGTTGAAGTGCTGGCTTCTCTGACAACAATGCAGCAGCCAGTATGTCCTCCTTCTAACTTTAGATTCTGCTCCTGAATGCTCTGGATTTGTTTGGACCAGAGAAGGTAGGCGCTTTTAAGACACCCCCACATGGCCGTTTTGGACGCCCCTCAGTTTGCCAGATATGAGAGCAGTTATCAGGTCAACAGGTGTTGCAGCGATGGAAGCGGGCAAGAGAAGTGGTTCAGATAGAAGTGATTGTACCCGACCTAAAAAGCCTCTGCATGTTTCTAATAAGCTCCACGAGCAGAAACGTGCTCAAACTAGGATCAATATTGGAGATGCTTTTGAAAAATGGAGAGAGGTTAGAACACAGAAAGGTTTACAGACTGATGCAGAGCTGGCTAAACACTGAAGCTTCAGTGTCCACCACATGGTGACCTGCATGAGCGTCCACTCTAGAGAGGGGGAGGCTCTCTATGATGTTTTTAATTTGAAATGCAGTACTAGGTGTCAGAGTTACATATTGCTCCTTTAAGTTCTGAGTCTAAATAATGACCATGTAAGCCTGCTTCAGCTTTGAATACAATCTATGCATGACACATCATATTTAATCACACTAATAATCCTGACTCAAATACAAATCTCAGTCTCGTCGTCACGTTTGATTCTCAGTATTAAAAACTTTTTCTGCTTTAATATTTGCGTGTTTGTCCTGCAGGATCGCTCGTCTTCGAACACACTGCTCTCAACCCTCGGTGGTGCGTAAGGGAAAAAGGGGAGTGCATGGGAGAAAGATTTTTTAAGTTTCCAGGGACAGTTAGCCCTCTGTAATTGATCTCTGATGTTCATTTGAAAGTGTGTTCACAGATAGCTTATTTTGACATTCCATTATTAAAGCTGTCACTGTGTCCTCCCTGCTCTGCGAGCTTCAGATGACGGCCTAAATGTTTTCATTTGTGTAAACACTCTCTTCCTCTTTCTGCCCCTGTGGTAGTTGATATGTGACACCTGAGAGGAGAGAAAACGGGGGGGGGGGGTCAACTCTCCGGGACAGAAATGGAGATGTGTATGGTTTTCATTTCTGCTTTTCAAAGAGTCAGTGACCCAGAGAACTAACTGTTTTTCTCTCTGTCCCTCCCCCTCCTCTGCCTCCCTCCACAGTTCCGGAGATTTCTCTGTGATTCACCACTAGAGGTATGTATTTCCTTTGGCCTGCTGACAGTTTAATCAAATCTCTCTTTTCATCCATATGTATTACCTGTAATGACTCGGCCCGGCCCCCGAGCAGGTCGTCCTGCTGAAATTACTGTCGTGGAGAGGAGGATAATGGTTTGAAAAATGTCCAGCGTTTTAGTATTTAAATAAAAGTCACTTAAAAAAGAGATAAATGTACACTAGTTCCACCCATCCAGCACATACCTACACACACACCTCTGCTCCCTCTCTGCAAGAGCCCTGCAGCTGGATTCAGGGGGGGTTAAGGGATTCAGGAAGGGAGTCTGTGTTTCATATTTCAGAGCTTTTAATTTAGGCCGGTCTGAGAGGAAGGGGGTGTTCAGGGAGGGAAGCACTCAAATGTGGTGTCCAGATTGTGTTTAGACTACATTGAATTCGAGGTCCTCATACGGGTCCTTCCTCTGAACCTTTACAGCTCGAGACCTAACTCGCTGCTCGTCACTTTGACAAGTCGAGTAAAGATTTCAGGAGAAGGAATCGTCTCTGTTGGCATCATACACGGGACGTAGCAGATTGTTTTCAGCCGAGTTAGAAGGAAGTGGAAATAATTCCCAACATTTGATTTCAGTGCGTCATGAAGTTGCTAACATAACGTTGCTGTTAATCGATCCACCAGAAGTTCACTTTCCGTTTTTGATTCTAGTAAAAATCCAACGACAGTCATACCTGTTTGATACCACGGCAACAAGAATACAAGTCCTATGTACCAGTATTGGATAAATTATTCATTAAAGGATTGCAGGCAAACCTCAGCACACTGTTTACATTGCACAAATACGTGGCCAACATATTTGTGCAGGTGGGACAGTGTGCAGAGAGAAACTCTCCTATTAATCTGTCTAATGAAATAGTTTTCTCTGGTATCAGAGATTGTATGAACCTTACTTGTCACTACAGACTTTATACAAGCAGGAAAAGATGCCACCTCTTGGTTTGTCGACTGCCTCCTTTAAGCCTCTACTTCTACATTTAGCCTCTGTGTTGGTTTGCAGAATCCAAATGACTACATTTTTGAGCAGAGACGGTGGACATGGGATTAGCAAACGCTACGCTATCAAGGCTAAACATTCTGTTTCTGCAGCTAACTGATTTCCTCCTAATGAGATATGGCCTATGGGGGAATGAATCACTGCATGAGAGAGACTCTAGTGGACACTGGAGGAACTGCAGTTTTAGTCACTCTGAATTAGCTTCGTCTCTCAGCTCTGTATTTGTTAGCATCAGTTAGCTGTTAGCAGCCTTCAGTAACACCAGTGTGGACCTGTCAGGTCAAAACAATTACACCTGCAATTAGAGCCAGGACGGGCACTTATAACCGCCACTTTAATAGGATCGAGGTCGAGGAGCACACACACACAAACTGACTGACACAGAGACACACAAACACAGTGACTCTGTGCCGCCTGTGGGCCCCCTCAGGTCCACACTAATGAACATCATTAGTGTTTATAGGAAACAAGCTTTTATCACCTCGTCAAGGCTAGTGGCCAGACACACTGAATTACACAGTACTGCACATAAACTCACACACACACTGCCTCACATATCATCCTGACTTCACCATCCCTTCTCTCAGACCGGTTTAAGGGAACGTCTCCGTTGGTTTGGCCTCCTTTCAGCCAGCGTGTTTTTTATTTCTTGCTCTGATCTCGTCTTTCCTCTCTTTGAATATTCTCCGTTTTAAAGTTATTATGCGTGTCTCTCTCTCGCTCTCTCTCTCGCTCTGCGTGTTGGCCTCCATCTGTCTCCAATCAGAGAGCTATTAAATCACACACACACACACACACACACACACACACACACACACACACACACAGACACTCACCACATGGACCTGCATACTGTGTGGTTCATCAGCACACATGTTAGCCTTCATTTATACAAATATATGCAAACAGCATGAATACAAATCCAAGTGTAGCCAATCAGGGCGCAGGTTGTGTGGCTTGTTTGTTTGTTGCTTTGCTCCATTTGAATAAAATTGCAGAAGATTCGTGCTGAAACTCAGAGGTAATTAACATCAGCTGTCTCTGACCCGTCCACAAACAGTCACTGAGACACATGAGCTGTGTGATAAACAGCGGGATGTCTGTACACATGTCAGGCAGCAGTCGTGCAGGTGTTTGTCACTGCACTTGACCTTGTTGAGGTCTCAGTGGCGTGTGGTGGTGAACTCCGCTTTACGAGCTGGGTGGTTCATGAACTCATTCGGTTTCTTTTTATTGTTCTTCACCGCCTCCTGATGCGTCTACCCAAAGGGCAAACGCTCATTAACGGCGGTGTTGGCCAATTAGTAACCACGTTTTTTATGGCGCACCCCTCAGACTCTCTCTCCGTCCTCCTGTGAGTTATTCTCTCTCTCTGACCGTTTAAACACATGCACTTCTAAACATATCTAGATAATTCAGGAGGACTGCTCTGGAAATTCTCCTGATTATATCCTGCTTCGTTCTCACATCAGCTCACTCTGACTTTCTGCAGAATAAATACAAGGAGGCTGGAGGAGAAACAACGGGTGAAGTCTGAACAAAAAATGTGTATGTTAACATTCACACATGAGTTTTCTGCAGGCGTGAACGAATGATGTTTCTCTTTTCTCAAAGCGATGAGAAACCGAGATTCGCAGCTGCAAACATATCATAGTAATGAACACTCACACAAGTGTCAAAATCGGTCTTTGTCTCGAGAACACTTTTTGAAGGTCTCGGTCTCCTCTCAGAATCCAAAACATTTTTACCCGGTCTCGTCTCGGTCTCAGACTGGGCGGACTCCGGATTTTAAATCAAGACCGGTCAAGACCACCTCTGATTGGCTATTTTTCCACGTCATCACTTTGATGACGTGGAAAACGCCTTTTCTAAAATGACAAATAACGTCAATTAATTTGTAGTCTGATTTTTATTCCCTGGTTACAATCGCAACATTCCCTGTGTTACGGTCTAAGTGAGTGACACGCCCCCTAAACACAAGATGAGGATTCTTCAGAGATACTTATTGTCTCAGCCTCGGAGCGTTCTGGTCTCGGTTAGTGTGGTCTTGACTTCAACAACTGTAAGCCAAATAACTACATTTTCAAGCTGGATCGATGATAAAACATCAGATCTGTAACTGAGGAAGCTGAAAAATAAGTTTCACTTTGTTCTTTGAAGCTTGCGTGGAATGAGTAGGTAGTTCTCACACAAACATTTATTTCAGGGCATTTTTCAAAATACGGTTTGCTTCAGAAAGAGCAAAAAAGGAAAACCAAAACAAATAAAGCACAAAGATATTGTTTAAGGAACAGTTAAATAAAAAGATATGAGCTTTGCACTTTGCTGTTGTGTATTTGAACATCTGTGAGTGAAAAGAGAGAGACGGTGTTAAAACATCTGTTATTTGTCAATCCCAGAATTACCAGAAGTCTTAACGGCGTGTCCAACATGCAGAGCGCTGCAGCTTCACACACAGCACAAACAAAAAGGTTTTAAAAATTCACCAGGATTTTCATTCCACTCGAAAATTGTATAAAATTATGATAAACAACAATAAAACTGATGTTAATATTTATGTGAAGTGATTAACAGAACAAAACATGTCCTCAAATCAAACTAAATAAACCAACACATGGTTTAGTATATTCCTAAATGAAATGCTCATAAACATCAAGTATTAAAAATCACAATCATTCAATTAAAGAAGAAAATTAAATTAAGTAAAGTCTAACAAATACAATCAAAATCAGAGAAACCTCCATTAATGAAACCAATGCAAAGTACCCAAAACTGCAATTCCTCCAGTGTCCACTAGAGTCTGCCTCCTGCAGTGAGTCAGTCCCCATAGAGCTCCATGTTAAAATAAACATGTTTACAGTCTGGTACAAAAACAGTTTGGGTCTCTAGAGTTCACCTGTTTACATTATATTAAGTCTTAAAGGGAGGTAGTATTAGGGGGCGTGGCCTCTTTGAGTGACAGGTGGGAGCTGCAGGAGGCTTCACCTCCTACTTGATTTGACATTTCACCTCCTCGTCTAGGAGCAAAGCAACAGCAAGCTCTACGTCTTCTTCAATCCATTTTTTACCACTTACATTATTGCCAATATGCACACAGAGCCCCGCTCTGCAGGCGCTCCCAGATGCTCTTTCCTCAGATGCGCACACGTTTTTAGAGTGGCCGTGCCTAGAGCGATTCATCTCTGTATGATCGGCACCTTAAGCCCGTCTCAGGCCTTCATTTGACCAGATCAGGATTATATTTGGGCTCGCATTGCAGCTATAGGAGCTTCATAAATGCCAGTAACTTGAAACAATCACAGAACAGTTCCAAAAATTATTATAATAAACTAGGCTGCTGTTTCTGACAGACGTTAAAATTCACCCAAAATGTCTCTCCACTTACACACTTACACCCCCTCCATCCCCCACACACACGTTATGGAGCCCTGTGCTGCTCACGTGTTCCTGTCGGGGCCATATGAGAGCGATTTGGGGCAGCAGGGGAAGCTCTGGGTGGTTTGAAGCGAACCAGAAAGTGTTTAGATTGTTGTCACAGTGGCAAGGACACGACCATTAAGCTGTCGTCTGGGGTGACGCACAGGTCACTCAGACAAGATCAGCCTTGAACAGCGAATGAACTCATAAACAAACACACACACCCAGGCCGACATTACGTCTAATGCACCCGTATTCATGTCTGTATGATTGTGCTGGAGTGTGTAAGCTCGAGGTGGGGTAAGAATAACCCCCCCTGCACACGCTCTTTTTTTTTTACCTACAACTCTGAAACGACTCAGAGGGGCCTCCGACAAAGCCGTCAGTGTTTCTGAGGGAACTGGTGCCAAAAATCACCGGCTGCCCGCTCATAGGGACAGACAGAGAGCGAGTAGAGAGTAAGGCGCGCTCCAGATGTGGCGCCTGTCACCCTTCAGCTCCCCTAACTCCAGATAAATGTTCTTCTTTCTTTATTCTTCCCTCCTTTCTGCCCGCCTGCCAGTCAGCTAATTCACAGTAAAGCCACATCATCTCTACCTCGTATCGAATGTCCTCTGATGTGGAGCCGCAATCTGACAGTTTAATGACACCTACCCTCCTAACAGAGGTGGCAAGAGTACATCAAGTCTTCACTCCAGGAGACATACAGATATTTTTGTGTAAAAAGTAATGGAGTGAAAATAATCATCATTAAAGGAGCGGGAGGCGGGTCGTTGTGTCAGGCGGGTCGTCATATCTGAGGGTCTGAGCTAATTTAGTTTTTTATGTCTGGCTCTGTTAAAATGGATCCAAGGGCGAACATGGAACCCAGTCAGTCCGTAGATGATGTTCAGACCTCTGGGGTTAGAAAGCTGTAAGGTGTGTGTTTATATTTTGTGTGTTTTTTCAGTTTGGTTTAATTCTGCTCAGAGTTTTGCCCCAGTGCTGCGATGGATTAGCATGTTAGCTCTCTCACTGTTGTGATAACTAGCAGCGTCTGCGCTACTTAACCGAGTCCAGCTGAATGTTGGTGAGGGAGAAAGATCCTGTTACACACACACACACACACACACACACACACACACACACACACACACACACACACACACACACACACACACACACACACACACACACACATTCACTCTCTTAATTTGACCTTTAACCCTGAGCCTCTGGTTTTAAGCCTATAAGACAAAAGCACTCAAGTCCCCAACATGTGGATCCTCAATGATAAAAAACTTTACTGTTTCATTAGAGACGTAGACCTGACCTATTCAACCTGCGGTTTGTGGGATAAAAAATGGCCCTTTTAGAGACCCTAATCTGGACATTTTTTTAAATATTTAATGTATATACAAATTTGTTGGTTTATTTCAAGAAAAGAAAAGAGCAGAACAACTCACATAAAAAACAGTCACATATTCTCCTCCTCTTCTTCAGTATAAATAAATCTCAGAGCTCCTCAAAACATGTCTGTGAAGTTTCTTGTTCTAAATCCACTCTGATCCTGTATTTGATCATGCCTATAAACCCCTCTATTTCCGCCCTGCTCAGAACAGGCTGTTTCTGTGTCTGTACCTTTAAATATGTAAATGAGCTGTGTCTGACCACGCGCCCTCTCTGGAAGGGCTTGGGTGTCTCTGGCTTTCTTGCTCCATGCCCTATTGTTTACGGTGAGAAGGCAGACTCAGAGGGTCAGAACAAACACCTAGCTGTGGGAGTGTCACCCACCTGAGGGAGGGGCTACTGCCCTTTGTGAGGTCATGAAGGGAAAATCTCCAAACGGCCTGTTTGAGCACACATTTTCTAAAAAGTGGAGCCGGCAAAAGACGGAGAGGATGGACGTTTCTCATCATTGGGGGGTTTGTAGACAGACTAGAGACACATATTAGAGTTAGAGGAACATGGGGAAGTGGATTAAGCATCATATGTGTCCTTTAAATTAAAAAATGTGCATTGTCATCACATTAAGCTCTACAGGTCTGACATGTAGAATATTAAACGTCTTGTCAGTTTTATAAACCTGGCCTCTCCGACAGAGTAATTGAATATTCCTGGTGTAGTCTGAACCTCCACCCACATTCTTTCATGCCACATGTAGAGAGCAGACGCAGACTCACAGGACGGAGCTTGGCAGCTCTCCACCACTGCCTGCTGAAATGGATTTTAGTCATGCAGGGTCCTTTATTAAAAAGTCCTCTCCTGGAGTGTTTCTGTGGCCCCCCCCCACACACACACACACACACACCTCCTCCACCTCCTCCACCTCCACCCTGCTGCTGCTGCTCTCGCTCCACATTTGGGAGCCATTAGCAGGCTGAACTTGAGGCTACTGTACACCCCCACTCATAATGCTGCGTGAGGCCTGGCAGGGGGAAGCCTGGCTTATGATACACACTCATACAGGTGTGTGTGTGTGTGTGTGTGTGTGTGTGTGTGTGTGTGTGTGTGTGTGTGTGTGTGTGTGTGTGTGTGTGTGTGTGTGTGTGTGTGTGTGTGTGTGTGTGTGTGTGTGTGTGTGTGTGTGTGTGTGTGTGTGTGTGTGTGTGTGTGTGTGTGTGTGTGTGTGTGTGTGTGTGTGTGTGTGTGTGTGTGTGTGTGTGTGTGTGTGTGTGTGTGTGTGTGTGTGTGTGTGCGCGCGCGCGCGTGCGTGCGTGCGTGTGTCAGAGAAAGTCCTGTTAAATAGCACACAGTCTCAGTCCTCTGTGATTTATATATTTCTCTTTATTACACAACGGAGCTCTGCTGTTGTTTTGACCACTGGCCACCTCCCCCCCCCTTTACAGGCTGAATATTCTCCAGATGGGCCTGAGGTTGGATACGGATCTTTCCATCAGCAGTACTGGCTGGACGGGCGCATCGTGGCGGTGGGGGTGATCGACATCCTGCCCACCTGTGTGTCCTCCGTCTACCTGTACTACCACCCAGACTTTGCCTCACTGTCTCTGGGCTCCTACTCTGCTCTCAGGTGCGTTTAAAACACTCGTGTTATCCACTTCCTGTTGTTTTTTTTAGTCATGTCGGTGTCACTTCCTGTCACAAACACAATGCTGCATTCTGCTTTAGTTCTGTTTAATGAGCAGAATTTACAGATATTTAGTTTTCAGCGAGAAGAATCTGTAACATGGAGCTCCTCAAAGAGAAGAATGTCTCTCCCTCTCACGGTGACTCCCTTCTTTGTTCTCACTTTTATTCTTCACTTGCCCTCCTCTTAACCTGCTCTCCCCCTAACTCTTGATCTTTGTGGCCCCGCCCACATTTGATCTCTTCTTAGAACTGAATACTGTAAGTGCCATAATACTGAAAGGTCGGGAAAAATACCGCTTTCTTTGCACTTGATTGGTTGAGACGGAGCTCTGTTTGTGGTTCAGCTGACGACGGCTCACTCTGCCAGGATGAAATGAGAGACACACACACACACACACACACACACACACTGGAGGCACGTATCTGGGCTTTCCTGTAAAATGTAACCCAATAATGTGAGAAAGGCTTTTTCAAATATTCCTGCACAGATGTGGGAGTCTGGGTGAGCTCAGCTTCAAAGTGGGTGTGTTCAGGTGTGAGTGTGTGAGTTACGAGTGTGAGTTCACGTGTGTGTGATTTAGGGGTTCGGACAGACGGGGTCGGCTCTTATAGAGGGAACACCCTGGTCATCACACACACACACACACACACACACAGGCGGCTCCTGATCACTTGTTATTTTAGGAGTCTGACTCCTGCAGGAACACGGAGCACTCAGTAAGGAGACTAAAATCTTCCCGCCTGTTTACAGACACTCGAGTCCAGGTCTTTGATCAGGTCTGGACACTCCCTGGTCTGAAGACTCTGTTAGAGACTTACTGAGCATGAACACACAGATACACACATTTATTAATTAAAATGTTTCTAATCAACAGACGGCCGGTCAGTCGGTTCATACATCAAATATTTAATACCACCGCTAAAAATTTTCTTTTTTTTACTTCTTAGGAACTCACACAGTGATGTTATTTTTATTTTTTTTTCATGCATAAACTAAATAATTTCACTTTATCTTCAATAAACACATTCTCAGTGTGTCACATGTCCTCTGGGGGGGTTTGAGGTTTATCACAGGTTTTACTCTCATAAAAGAGTTTGAGAAAAATCTGCAGGAAGAGCAGTCTTACAACACTTAGAACCGCTGGCCTGTAGGTGGCGCTGTATAGGATGACTTGATTAGATGAGATGAGATTAGATGTGCTATTTGCAAAGATACAGCACAGTACAGTTCTCTTAGACTTGATCCGTTTCTCAGGGAACTTTCTAACGTTCACTGAAGTAGCTGATGTGAATCCATTCCATCAAAACGTATGCATCAGTTAAAAAAGGGTTTTAAAAAGCTGTAGTGACCAGGATATGAAAGGGTTAAAAGTTAAAGATCATGAAGGAAAATCACACCCTTTTAGATCATTTGCAGGTTAAGCTTTGCAAGATGTAAAAAGATGTGTTTACGAGGATGAACATGAATTAGGAATCCCATAAAATGACATGAGGACGATTGTTTCCTGCGATATGTCATGGAATATGAAAAAAATTCACACATAAGTGCTGTGTTTGCAGATATAAGATAAACAACACACACTCATCGTAGTGCGTCATGAAGGAACTCAAAGTCTGTTTTCTACCTACCACAACATCTTAAAAACTTTATTTATTAGTCCTCGTGTAGAGAAACACTTTAAGGTGTGAACAGACGTTATCACCAGGTGAGAGCAAGGCCTGCATGTCATTCTGCAGAAGAAACAGGAGAGGGGGGTGTTGAGAAGATTCTAGCAGGCGTGTGGCTCCTCTGCATCTGAGGGGGAGAGGAGAGGAGGAGGAGAAAAGAGTCTCCTAATGAGTAGCCTGAGGCGCTGTGTGCAGCAGACTCAGCAGGTGTCCACCATGGAGCTCTCTCTTTTTGAAGATGTCCTGATGATGATCTGATTTTGATCCGACTCCTGACAGATTCCACGTTTACTTTTAGTGCCTGTGCATTCTCCTAAACATGCATGAGATTAATGATCAGAATGAACAGTTAACCTTAAGAGAAATATGAAGGAGTAAGAACAAGTCATGTGTTTGACTGGACACTCGTGCACACTGACTTTGCACAACTATTTTGCAAATTGTTTCGGTATGGAAACCTCGCAAAAGTTGACATCTCCCTCGTTGTTCTCCTGCAGCAGCTTTTGGTTCAATGTATGACTGAAGATCTGACGTTATTTTAAATGTTCTGGTACTTGTGGACACGACTGATCATTAAAACATTAGAGATTGTATCGTTTTAAAACACCTGGTATCTTATCACACTTTGACAACCTTCAGCAGATGTGTTTCCCTGCACAGAGTAGCAGACATGAAGCAACCGCTCGCAACACGGCCAGCTAACTGTTCCCTGCTCTCACATTCACTGCGGTCTGTCTCAATCCTGCACACAGACTCTGAACAGCACATTATCTTCATTTAAAGTTCTTACACACGCTGTTTTCACTTCTGAGGTTAAGAAGGAGCTGTGTGCATCACTCTGCACGATATAACTGTTTAATAAACGTCTAATCTAGTGTTTGGAAATGTTTCTGCATGCATGTGAGGCTGCAGTAAGCACCTTGTGGTATGCACCATTATGGACCCTTTGTGTGCAGGTGTGTGTGTGCTGGGGTGTGTGTGTGTGTGTGTGTGTGCACATCAGTATGAGGGAGCTGTGCAGGAGCAGAGGCCTTGATAATTGGCTTGTGCTGGAGTGTCAGATGGCTGAAGAGGGGATAATGGTGGACTCAAGCTGCTGCCATGGGGTGGGGTGGGGGGGCTGGAGGAGGAGGGAGTGTGAAGGGTGAGGAGGAGGGAGGCTTTTTGTGAATGGGCCCCTCGCCTCTCTTGACCCCCCTCCCCCAATTCAAGCCTGCCGGTTGCTTTTGTGGAGAGGGGATGGGAACCCAGGAACCTGGCAGCGAGTGGGTGACCTTCCAGCACCTCGCTCTCTCTCCGTCCCTTTCTCTTTCTTGACCCCTCCTCCTTTATATTCTCCTCCTGCTCCCTCTCTCTCCCCCCCAAGCCTCCCCTCTCTCTCCTCACTGGCTTGGCCCGCTTTGTCCCGTGTCTTATTTTTCAGAGCATCCATTTTATTTTAAGGCCTCTTTCTCTCCCTCTTAAGTTTGGGAAGAAAGGCTTTTCTCCCCCCTCGGTTTGAGCGGGTGAAACGCGGAGGGTGGAAGGACGAGCGAGACAAAAAGAGAGAAGAAAGCGGAGCTGGACTTTAGATATGGAATAGTGACGGAAATGGGAGAGAGGGAAAATAGGCTTTTAGAAAAAAGGATGCAATTAAGGAAGAAACTATGGAGGGGAAATAAAGCAGGCCAGACTTTTACTGTATTTGAAGAAGCTGTATAAATCTTCCTCCTCCTAAATCTTTATTTTACACGCTCTCTCCCCCTCTCTCTATCTCTATCTCTCCCTCGCTCTCTCTCTCTCTCTCTCTCTCTCTCTCTCTCTCTCTCTCTCTCCCCTCCTCTCTCTCATCTCCCCCCTCTCTCTCTCTCTCCATCTCTCCCTCTCCCTCTCTTTCTATCTTGTACTCTCTCTCTCTCTCAATCTCTCTCGCTCTCTCTTGTCCTCTCTCTCTCCCTCTTTCTCTCTCCCCCTCTCTCCCTCTTTCTGCTCGGGGCCTTGTGCAGATGGAGAGAGGAGGTGGTTGTTTTTGTGTGATGAAATGAGACTGAGGAAAGCCGCTTCCTTCACGCTGGGTGTTTACTTCCTCAGCTCGGTCTCTGCCTAGAACTCATTTCATTACTTAGCGCGCTCGTTCGTATCGTGTTCCAACAACGACCTGCAAGAACAACACTTTAAAGGTGTTCCAGACACATCTCTTACTCAATTACCTTTAACACTTTCTGACTTCAGTGCACTTACATGGTCTTGAGTATCTTGGTTTTGATTGAGTTTTTTAATTCATGCTGTTTTCAAATGATGCGAGGCTCGCTCCAAATCAAAACAAACAACAGTGTATAAGAGATGATGGAAACAAACACCACAAGTCGAGCAATATCCAAGCTTTGTCCCTCTGTAACTGTGTGTGTGTGTGTGTGTGTGTGTGTGTGTGTGTGTGTGTGTGTGTGTGTGTGTGTGTGTGGTGTGGTGTGTGTGTGTGTGTGTGTGTGTGTGTGTGTGTGTGTGTGTGTGTGTGTGTGTGTGTTTCCTGCTGCAGGGAGATCTTGTTCACCAGGCAGCTGCAGAAACAGTCCCCCAAGCTGTCCTACTACTACCTGGGCTTCTACATCCACTCCTGTCCCAAGATGCGCTACAAGGTACGCTGCATGTCATCATCACGCCAAACACAACACGATTAACACCTTTCACACACTCAATAAAAACAGACAACTTCAAGGTGGAAACGATAACATTCATACCTGCCCACTCACATGCAAACCCTTCACATCTTTACCATCCGGTTCCCAAGACTTAGTAAACTAATTTCAAGTAAAGATATAAATAAATAAATAAATAAATGATGGCGCTGCCCGTGTCACTGAAGACCATTTTTTAGAATATCTGTTTTAGATCTTTCACACCTTCACTAACCTCCTGAAGTTTATTACTCTGAGCATCATGTGTGAACACAAACATCTGAATGTTTCTCTCTTCACTCAGAGTTTCTCCTCCAGCCTCCTCGTATTTATTCTGCAGAAAGTCAGAGTGAGCTGATGTGAGAACGCAGCAGGATATAATCAGGAGAATTCACCTGGAGCGAGTGGGAGGGGGTGGTGACGTTTATTCCCTGTGATCGCTGCACGACCATAGACTGTCTGCACGCCACCTCTACCATCTCTGTGCTCTAATGAACCTGCTGCATTATGTTTCCTGTTCTCCAGTATGTTCTTCTCCACTCTTTAGTTCACATTGAGATTCTCTTCAACTACACGTAGCATTGATATGAAGACACATATTCTTATTATAGCGTCATGTAGAGGACGTCCTGCATCATGGTCGGGTGGTGCGGTGAGGTGAATGGAAGAAGAAGACCTGAGGGTGCAGGGGGGTGAATGTTCAGGCGTTCAGAGAGGTACAGAGGAGCAAGGTTATGGGCGGCCTTTAAGGTGAGGAGCAGAATCTTGAAGTCAATGCAATGTTTAACCGGGAGCCGATGAAGCGGCTTTGAGAATAAATAAAGGTTTGAATATAGAGAGGGAATGAGAGACGGGGTGGATGTCTGCAGAAGTTATTTCATGATGTTCACCTGCAAACTGTGCAGGAAACGTTAACCAAAGATAAATGTGCAGGGAAAGGCTGATAACACAGCTGGCTGGCGTAAAAACAAAGAGTAAATGTTCATCTGTAGGAGGGAACTCCAGTGGAGAAGGGCGAGAGGACAGAAAGGGGGACGTGAGGAGGAGAAGAGGCTGCTGAAGACATTACAGGTTGAGAGAAAGGTCACAGTGTACATGCTGCAGAGGATGAACCGTCTGAACCGGCACAGAATCTAAAGTGCATGTGCACACGGGAGCCGCTGTCTGTGACGCGCTCACACGCTCCCCAAACACTCGGAGAGACGCACAGATTCAGGAGGAGCTTTCTTTTTCATCTTTTTGTTCTCTCATTCGTCGTCTAATTCCTCTTTCTCTCCGTCATTTCTCCCCGACTTTCCCAGAGAGTTTCCTTGTTTAGCAGACTGATGTCTTGTTGAGGATGATGGCAACGTGCCACACCTTCTTATCCTTTACATCTTGTTTTGTGCTCGCTTTGGGATTTTGTGTGTGTGTGTGTGTGTGTGTGTGTGTGTGTGTGTGTGTGTGTGTGTGTGTGTGTGTGTGTGTGTGTGTGTGTGTGTGTGTGTGTGTGTGTGTGTGTGTGTGTGTGTGTGTGTTGTGTGTGTGTGTGTGTGTGTGTGTGTGTGTGTGTGTGTGTGTGTGTGGTGTGTGTGTGTGTGTGTGTGTGTGTGTGTGTGTGTGTGTGTGTGGAATCTTGGTCACGCCGTTACCCCAGCACCAAACCCCCCCCTGCAGAGGTATTTACTCCCCCTGCCCCCTATATCTGTTCTTCTGCAGCGTCTTGTTCACAGCGTCCCCACTTCTTCTTCTTCTCTCACTCTTCAGGGGAGGAGTGGGGGGGGGGCAGAAGAAGGGTGAGAAGGTTGCCCAGTTCCCACCTTCTTGCTCTCCCACTCCCACAGAAACACACCCGCGCTCACACACACTCTCAGCACATGCTCGGTGTCTCGCTCCTTTGTCTGATTTGCATACGGGCCTGAGCAGTTCATTAATGCACAGACATCGGGGGGGGGGGGGGATTGTTCTGAGGACGGGGAGCCCCTAAACGCTGCGCTTTAAAGTTTCTGGATCTCAGTCCTGCTGCTCGCCTCTTGAAGGACCCAAACAGCAGCACTTGAACCCTGCTGGACTCCACTCAAACCCCTTTAACACCTCCTGCCCCCCCCCCCTCATCTCCCCTCAACACCTCTCCAGGAAACTCTCCCTACCCATCATGTCCACAATGAACATTTGAAAATACAGCTTGACTCCTCCTGTCAGGCTTTTTGTGCACGCTGAGACGAAGCTTTCCTCTCCAACAACATCTCAGAAGATCTTTAGAAGTTCTGATTCATGTGAATGTAGGCTGCACCTGATAAGATGATTTTAACGCCTTTTAATATCCTCTTCCACCACTTCAGTTTTATGCGCCTCAGTATACCTCTCTGTGGATTCACTCGGTAGTCGTCCTCGTTCCTTGAAGAGCAACGAGCTGCATTATTATGTAACTGACACCAGGAGTGTTTGAAAGGACGTTTATAGTGACCCTACAGGCTGCTCTCAGACGTACAAGAGAGCTTTTATTTATTTTTTTAGATTTTATTTTTTGCTTTTTTTGTTTTGTGCCTCCATTGTAGAGATAGGACAGTGGACAGAGCCGGAAATCAGGGAGAGAGTGGGGAATGACATGCGGGAAAGGAGCCACAGGCGGGATATGATCCCGCCCGGAGGACCACAGCCCCCACACATGCGGCATGCGCCACCAGCGCCCCACCAACCCCCCGGTACAGGAGAGCTTTTAAAGGCCCTATTTAGGTTACACTTTGTTAAACTTCACCCTGAGCTGCCCCCCCTCATTCCCTCCTGCTGCATTTGACTGAAGACTCTGAAGACCTTTTCATAAACACAAGTCCTGAAAAAGTTCAGACATGACCCAGAGGAGCTGCACGTGTGTTGAGTCGAGTCGGCACGATACCAGAATTTTAAATCTTTAAATCTTTGAAGTAAAAAAAACAAAACAGATATTGATACCTGTGTCGATACCACACCTTCAAAAACAGAAGTCCTTATCCCCTATGTTGGAGGAATTCTTGTTTTAAATGACCACTGATTGCAGGAAACGTTGTCAACGTATTTGTGGAATTGAGACGGCTTGTAGTAGTTGTTTTGATGGATTCATTCACTCTCCATACCTGTAATTGTGATATTTCAGGAGCTTTGGTGCTTTTTGAATCTGTCGATCATTAAAAGATCAGAGAGCGGATCGTTTGAAAAGAGGGGGCATCAAAAAGTATTAAAATGTTTGACCTTGTCGGTCCTCAGAGTCCATCTCTTAATCCTGTTTTTATTTTGGAGTCCCTTGAGCTTTTCTCTGCCAGCTCCCGTCTCTCGGAGCTCCATGTGTGATGGTTTTAAACCCACCTTTAGCGCCAGAGCCTGGACATGGTCCTACAGAGCCCCTTTAAGGATCCTAGGAGCCTTGGAGTGCAGCCATGAACAGGGGGCTGCCCGGCCGCTGTCAGACCATCTCCTTTGTCCTCTGAGCGGGGACGGAGCGTCCCACTGAGCCGTGCTGGTTTGGCTGGTGGGTTCAGGCTCAGACGTGACATCCTGCCCCTGGCTGGGTTCCCTGGTCCTCAGTCCCCTCAGGTCCTCAGACCCTCCCTCTTCCTCTGATGTTGGGTCTGCACAGAGCAGAAGGTGAGAGCAGAGGTCTTTGCCCTTCTGCCTCTCTTCTGTTTCTCACATTGACTCTCGTGTCTGAATGAGGCGCTCATGACTTCAGATGAACTGAGACTCTGATACATGTCTCCCAGTGTGACCACCACAAGGACACTTCTTACTTTTATCTCAATGCTAAGTTTACCGAGAAGCTTCGCAGTGTCAACAAATGAGTTAAAAAAACAAACATGTTAGTGTTTAAAGCTGCTTCATACAGAGATCAAACTGGTCCCACCGAGGAACAAAAATAAAAGTCTGAGGGTCTCCATATTGGGTCACACTGACCATGGTCCTGCAGAGCCCCTTTAAGAGTCCTAGAAGCCTTTCAGTGCAGCATGAACAGGGAGCTGCCCGGACGCTGTCGGGCCAAAGTATCGTATTTGCACAATTTAAAGTGTGCAAGAACTTTTTGGGGTTTTTGTTTTTGTTATTTTTCTTTTAGCCTTTATCAGACGCACAGCTGAAGAGAGACAGGAAGTGTTGGGAGGAGAGAGAGCCGGGGGGATGACATGCAGCAAAGGACCGAGGTCGGATTCAAACCCACCACCGTTGCGATGAGGACTATAGCCTTCGTTCATGGAGCGTGCAACATAACGGCTAGGCTATCTGATGCCCCTGCCTGCTATGTCTTATAAAAGTCTTAATTTTTTTTTTAAAAGCTTCAGAATTTCTAGATGCTGTCGATCATTAGAAGAACGGAGATTTTGTCGTTTTAAACACTGAACATTGATCATTTTGACATGGTCTGGATTCAGCTTTCTACCCTGCAGCTCAACTCCAGCTTTCTCTCCAATAACTCCTCCGTCCAGCTTCAGCAGCTCGCAAAATGTTCTCATTTGTTCACTACATTTCCCCTTTTTAGTTGGACTGAACTTGGAGTAAAGATCTTTGCCATGTTGTGGTGACTTCTCTGCAGCCGAGTGTGTGTGTGTTAGCTCTGTTCTCTGGAAGACGTGTTGAGGCAGACTTTGATGATAACAAACGAGGCGGACGAACACTTGGCTTTACCGACCTGCAGTACCTGCCTGTAACAGATGAAGCTCTTAATAAAGAGGCATGCACGCTCAAACACACTCAGAGAATAGAGAGAAAACGGCTCGCTCGCTCCTGGTCAGTGAGAGAGAGAGAGAGAGAGTTACATGAAGTGGCTCTTACTCTTGTTATTATTGTTCACTGTGAAAGAATGTCTCGCTCTAAGCCCAGGAAACCATTAAGTTTTCCACAGAGAGAGAGAGAGAGTGAGTGAAAGGAGGAGGAAGAGGACAGACGGAGAGAAAGAGAGAAAGAAAGGAGTGACAAAATGTGTGCCAAATTGAGAAAAGGAGGCGAGATGAAAAGGA